GAAATCCTGTGACTAATCAACCAAATCCCTACAAACCAATATTTGAATATGAATGAGATGGTCACTGGCGACTGGCCCTATTCAGGTAGGTAATTACCTGGGATTCTAGTGGGAAGTCGTGAACAGTAGGATGCAGCAGGTCGGGTGTGAGGACAAATACTCACCGAAGACATTGGCTAGCGATTGCGCTATATCGTGAATTGGCAGAAGTTAGAATTCACGGGCAATTGGATAGGGTCCCAGTGGCTTAATGGTATACGAGCTCGCCTTGTAACCATAAGGTCCTGGGTTCGAAACCCGGTGGGTGCGTACCGATGAGGAGTCCCAAACTAGGATGAAACAGCTGTACAGTACTCCCAGCTTTTCCAACGGTTCTCTAATCAATGTCAGCTTATAATGAAATCCTGTAACCAATCAACTAAATCCCTACAAACCAATACTTGAATAACCAGTAATGAATATTAGTTACAGATGCTTACAACATAAAATAAGTATAATCTAAAGGATCTGAAAATGAGTTTTATATAAAGCTTACTATTTGTAGTTGAGTAAAACACAAATGGCTTTTGTTATTGTTGTGTAATTTCAGGTGGATAGTTCATGTGCAAGACTGAGAATTTAACACTCAGGATGTCTAGAAGAACAAGGAAAGCTTCGTAGGTAATGCATCTAGCTCTGAGAACAAAACAACATCTATTTCACTTACCTAGGCAGTAATTTTTTTTAATCACAGGGGGCACAAATAAGGATGTCAAAGTGAAGATCCAAAAAGCCAAATAGATCTTCACTAGACTGGAATAAATGTCAAAATCTGTTGTAACTAGAACAAAGAATAAAATGCGGATCTTTAACACTAACGTCATTTCCTTTCTATGCTTGAGAGACTTAGTGAGTTATATAGGGCATTTTTAATGGACTGCCTTCACATTCCTTACTGAAGTTCAAATAGCAGGGCAGAAAGGATGAGTAATAAGGAACTTTGGGAATAAACCAACCCAAAAAACCTTTAGCTTGACAAATACGCAGGATTAAATGGTGAACTCGACGTGTTCTGAGCAGACTGCTGGGTGACATCATGCGCCAGATGGGAAGCAGTGGGTTGGATGTCTTAGGGTGATATGGAGGAGATTGTTTGAAGAGAAAATGAAAGCTGACAGACAATCGTGGAATCAACTAAAAAGGACTGTAGACAACAGAGTAAATTGGTGATGCACTTTTGAAGCCTTATGTTCCACTTTGAACCCATGGTAGTAACGATATTTGAATGACAGTATGGACGTGTAATTTACATAGACAACGAACCCTGTGTAGTTATGTTAGAGAAAGCAAACAATGATTAAGCCATCTAACATACTCATGAAATTTTTATGTAGATAATAGAATCTGGATCAAAATACACGAGCTATCCTCATCACCCTGAGCTATGAGTATTATACAATAATTTACAAAATATGTAGCTAAATTTAAAATAAGATGTAACCAAAAGTACTACGGCGTACCCCAAATATTCATCAACCTTATTCAACAGCTGTACGACAACGGCACATGTCAAGTGATCCACAACGGAAAACTCAGCGAGGCGTTTGGAGTAAACACAGGATTCAGACAAGGGCGCTTATTATCACCAATGATATTCCTAATTGTGGTGGACTGGATTATGCGTCAGACAGTGGGAAACGAGAAGACAGGGATATCCTGGACCAACGTGAAGAACCTCGAAGACCTGGATTTCGCGCGTGGATGATTTATGTTTGATAATGTTACACAAAATCGAAGACTTACAAGCGACAAACTGGTGGAAGAAGCAGCAAAGACAGGACTCCAGGTGAACATAGACAAGACGGGGGTTTTAGAAATAACCAACCAATAACAACAACAGCAACATCCAGCGCCAATCACCATCAACGGAAGGGATTTGAAAGAGGTTACTTCATTCACTTATCTACGGAGCATTGTCTCAACTACAGGAGAAACGGACGAGGATGTCAAATCGAGAATCAGGAAGGCAAGAAACACATTCATAAACCTGAAACCAATCTGGAAATATTCGTCACTCAGCATCAACAACAAAACTCGTAATTTCAATTCAAACGTCAAGTCAGTTTTCTATACGGATCATAAACTTGGTGGGTCACAAAGAATATTTCCAACAGCCTGTTGCAGACGTTTATCAGCAACTGCCTTCGCTATATACTGAAGATCAGATGGCCGGAAAGAATCACCAACAAGAAACTATGGGAACAAACAAAACAAGAACCAATCGCCCGACAAATATGCAGGAGAAAGTGGAGATGGATTGGACACTCGCTGAGGAGGCCTCTGGGTGACATCGCGCGTCAGGCCCTCGAGTGGAACCCAAAAGAGAAGCGGCGAGTGGGACTTCCATGGGTGACATGGAGGAGATCGTGTGAAGAGGAGTTGAAACAGAATGGACTAACATGGATGCAGGTGAAAAGCACAGCAGAAGGCAGAAACAAGCGGAAACGAGCAGTTGAAGCCCTATGTTCCACTAGGAACCCAAGGGAACAATAATAATGATTGTTATTTTTATGTTTTCCCCTTCATCATGCTGCATCAAGAGAACATTAGATTCAACATTCCATAAAATGCTAACATTTCCAAACTGTATCGACAATAATGTTTGAAACAAACCTGCTGTTATTATTATTATTATTATTACAGTTATTATTCTCGTTTTGTACTTTGCACATTTTTGACTTTATTCCTACTATAAATGTTAACAAATTCCGGTGGTCATTTTTATTCAATATTTTGAGTGACTTCGATGCAATATTGTGACAAATGCTGAGAATTCCATGCTGTATTATAAGTACAGTTTGTTTTGGAATAGAGCAGATTATTATTATTATTATACAGAAATTCATTTAAAAGTCTTCTTGTTTGACCATAATAATATCATGTCTATATTAGCAAAGAGTAGAATTCAGGATCTTTAACTTGAGGGACAATTATATCCAAATTCTACTTAGTAGGTTGCAACATAATAGAACTTAAATTCTAATTTCTTCGAGTTATAAAAATTTTAGCATGAATTTTGTACAAAATCATCAAATTTTTTGCTGTCATAAAGTGAACTGAATCTCTTAAAAACCACTTTCGATAATTTTTTATTATACTGGCAGTGAAATATAGCCTATAAAAAAGCATAAGGTGGCACGTTGGCTTGCTTAGAGGTTGGAACCTATTCGTCAACGGCTAGGCGTGCACACTATGAAAGACTCATTTCATTCCTCTGAAAGTGTGAACCACATGAACGTTTTAAATAAGTTTATGGTGTCATTTGATGTAACCTCCTTGTTCACAAATAATTCAAATCAACGAAACTATTGAGATCATTTGTCAGCAGGCTGACCTTCTCCCACTCCCAGAGCCGGAATTCAAACGCCTACTGCTTATGTGTACCATGGATGTGCAATTACAATTTGACAACACTCTTTACCGCCAAATAGATGGTGTAGCTATGGGCAGTTCACTAAGCCCTGTTTTAGCAGATATATTCATTTCCAACCTTGAAAGAAAAAAGTTGAAGCATGCAATCGATGAAACAACTTCCTACTGTCGATATGTTGATGACACATTTATAGTGTGCAACAATGAAAGTCATGCTTCATACTTACTCAGATTATTCAATGATGCACACACCAATATTGAGTTTACTATGGAACATGAAAGTGACGGAAAGTTCCACTTCCTCGATACTGCCATGGAACGCCTAGAAGACGGTAGTCTTCAAAAGTCAATTTATCGAAAGTCTACATGGAAAGCATAATACCTACATTTTAATAGCTTTTGTCCAAATAGCTTTAAACGTGGTCTAGTCAAGACTCTGTAATATAGAGCGAGGAGAATATGCTGTATAGAGAAATTAGAGAGAGAATTTGAGTTTCTTGAAAAGACACTGAAGAGCAATGGGTACCCTTGAAGGTTCATCAACAGGTATGGAAGATATGAAGTCAAAAATGTAAAACAAATCACAGTAGGAAAAAAGCCAGTCTACTTTCAGCTTGATTATAAAGGTGAAATCATTGCAGCGATGATCAACAGAAGGCTGAGCACATCACTAGCTATAGTCTATCCTGTAGCTAAGCTCATTCCCGTCTATCGAACAACTTGCTCTTTGATGCAATCAGAAATCGATAGATATCTTTCTCATGTTAACTCCAACTGTATATACAAATTTACATGTATCTGCGGGAGCAGTAACATTGAAAGAGCAGAAAGAAGGGCATATCTACGATTTTCTGAACATGTACCAAAAAGCTTATGTCTAAAGGGAACAAGTGCTGTAAGCAGTGCCATCGCCAGGCATCTCTTCGACACGGGTCGGTCATGAGGTGGACGTCGAAAAGTCGTTCAAAATTATCAATAAGCAAAAGAGCTCAATTCTCCTTAAGTTTGCTGAAGCCATTTGCATCAAGAGCCTGAAACCTGATTTATGCATTCAGAAAGAAGCGGTTATCAGTCTTTCTTTGCCCTGCCTGGTAACTGGATATTTTTCATCTGAATGCGAAATGCTGAAAAGTTTTCATTGTGTACATTGTATGTGTACTGATCGATTGATTTTTGTTTAAAATTGTTTTTTTGTAGATACATTTAATAATGTCTTTGGCCTGTAAGCAGCTGACGAGAAGGCAACGAAATAAAAGATGGTACCATTTTATTCTGCTAAAACTGTAGTTCTTGCTTTGTTCAAAAAAGCAAGTGTTTACAGGATAGAATATTCTGTATCAATATAATAAGTGAGTAGTAGTATGACTGATTTATTGACCAGTTCAGAAACATAAATGTTACCATGACTAGTCAGAACACTTAGACTTTAACATTTGAAAAAGTTTTATATAAGTGGCGAGACATAGAGCCAGAGAAGAGAATACAATGGGGACGTGCTGCAGAATTCTTAACCTCCACTTGGAACCCAAGGAAAGAATCATAATAATGATAATAATTCAAATATATGTGTATGTATATAAATATATCGACTAACCTGTATATGTTCCACCAGCTAGCAAAGATGGAATTGTTGGATGACATTTTATACACATTAAACAACTATTCGTTGTATATTTGTGCTTGGGATTATTCGACTCCAGTGTACTACTTGTTACATTCCAAAGTGCTGCATAACCAACATGTGTACACCAGTCTGTATGACATATTGATCCATAACTGAAATGTGTATTTACTGTTAAGGTTTTCAACGCTATACAACATTTGTCTGTCTGTCTGTTTTCGACATAAACCTTTGCAAATATGTGCGGCAGTTCAAGTTGCCACACTCCATGAGGCACACAAAGCAAGAAAAGAAAGTAGGAGAAATGCATATTATAGACAGTAAACAGAGGTGTGAGACAAAGGAATAGTAATAACGAAGAACAATATGGTTTCATTGGAAATCATAAGTCACAAGGAGTGGATGCATCTGCGCCACCCATTGAGAACAATTTTGATCCATATCACCGATTGTCTGCAGCCAATGGTTTTTACCGTCCCGAGGACACCAACCAGAAAGTCTACCCCTTCCTACGTGGCTTAGACTAACTGTTGTAGATTTCAGTGACTGGCGCCATGTTTTGGTTTTACCGCCACTAACTCTTTTCCAGCCTGACCCTATGTCAGCTAACATTGCTTGTCCGTTGAGGAAGGCGATGGCTAGGCAGGCATCCGTAACACATGCCCTAACCATCTCAGTCGATGTAATTTCACAGTCTCGTCGATTGATTTCCCCGCCTTACCTAGCACTCGACGCCTAAGCTCAATATTGCTCACCTAATTCTACCACCTCACACGGGCAACAGAACGCAGACACCTATGATCGAAGACAGCTAATCTTTTCATGTCTTTCACTCTCAATGGCCAGGTCTCACAGCCATAAAGGAGGACGGAGCGGACTGATGAGCAGTACACACGCCCTTTGGTCGATAGTCAGCCGGATATCACGTCTACGCCAGAGACGGCGTAAACTGGCATATCCAAAACTAGCCCTCTGTATCCGTGCTGAGATTTCGTCAGAGATCAAGCCGTTGGGGCTGATGGTACTTCCCAAATAAGTGAACCGGTCAACGTGCTCTACTACAATATTTGATAAAATTCACTGATTGACGTTTAAAGAAGAAAGAATCTAAACCTCTGAAGTGATTAGCCAGTTGATAGCAGCCAACTAGTTTAGTGCTCAGAGTTCTATCAACACCAAGATCTTGACTTTAATACTGCTAACTGTCCATTGAATAATGTGTACGATATAAACCTATCGTATAAAATATTAATTTTGATATAAGAAGCTTGTGGATACCGTCTGACTTCACATTAAAGGAGGAATATTGATGCCTCAGGACACTCACAAATAATTAAACAACTTTTATGGAGAAATGAAATTCACGAGAGAAGAAGAATTAGACAACAAAATTCCATTCTTAGATGTCTAAGTTAAGAGAACCAACACGGGATATTGAGAAACAGAAGTATGTAGAAAATCAACACATACAGAGATCAAACACTCAACTATAATAGTGATAACTCGATTACCCACAAAGGAAACTGTGTGCAGACATTGTTTGAAAGAGTCCAAACACACTGTAGCACTCCATTGCTGAAAAGAGCAGAAGAGAAAAACCTACTAACCGTCTTCAGAAAGGATGAATATCATCACAATTTCATCGAAAAGTGTTTAAACTTAAGTCGTAATACCAACAATAAACCGTCATCAAAGACCACAAGAAAATTGACTCGGCCACACATAAAGAATATCTCTGAAAGAGCAGTTAGAATACTAAGACCATCTGAAATAAACATAACACACAAGCCAAGCAACAGAACTATTTCATTCGATATTGTGCAAACCAAAGGATCCAATAAAAAAGATAAAATTAATATCATTTACAAAATAAGTCACATGAACAATGAGAAATATTACATTGGTCGAAATGGGCATCCCCTTCGAATCTGAGTCCAAGAACTTAAATTAGCTGTGAAGAGGCACGATATGTATTCTTTTATACCGATGCATGTAAATAGTTACGGACACCAGTTTGATTGGGAAAATGTAGAAATCTAAAATGGAGGAAACACCAAAAATGCCAGGGGATTTCTAGGAGCCATCTACTCAGAAGAATCAGCGAGTAACAGGCATATTAACACGGACCACATTTACCAACTAATAAAAAGAAATTTCAGCAGAGACGTAGATTAATAACCAATCACGACAATAGTTGTCAGGGGATACAGTCACATCATCCATGAAGAATTAAAATGAGTTTATTTCATACAAAAACCTGCGCTGAACAAATTGTCTAGAAGGATAACGAAAGCTCAGCATTTAAGTCAACCAGCTCACAGAACATAACTTAATTAAAATCATTGATCTAAGCTACAAATCTTCTCAATTACATAAAGCTAAAGCTAACATACAAGTGATTCAACAGCAGAATGGCATAAAAGACACACATGACTTTTGGGTTCGATTACAAGCCGACTCACACCTAAACCTACAGAGAAAAGTTTAGGCGTGTTGCCAGCAGCCTCACCCAGTAAACATAACACAACTGTTATCGAAAACTCAAAACCTAAAACCCTACTTTCCACTCACAAAACAATACTGATGCTTTAACAAGTTAAATGATTAGAATACAACATTTAGCTACTATCTATCTAGTATTATACGAAATTTCATTAACCACTCTTAATTAAAATTATGTGCGTCGGTGGTATAGCGGTTAGGACGCTCGCCGACCATGCACATGGTCCGGGGTTCAATCCCCGGCCGACGCACTCCTTTACCTCACTGAGCCAGAAATAATGCTGGTGAAGAGATAAGGTTGGGCATGAGGCTAGCAACCCCATCCTGTAAAATAAACACTTCTACAGAAACTTCAAGCCTCTAGCTTGAAGCCGCCCTATGTTCCACTGGGAACGTGAAGGAAAATAAAATAAAAATAAAATAAATTAAAATTATAAATTACTCAGAGCAAAATAAAGGATACGATATTGCCAGCAATGCTCCAGTTGAATTCCATGATAGTCCTGTAACAGATAACTATACATTTCACGAATTGGGTTATCCAAAAGAAGATAAACCCTACCTTGTCCTCTTTAGCGTTATCCAGTATAAGCGTGTATTTTTCCAACGCGTCAACCCTATTGAATATTTTTCTTGACTCCAATCGTTTAAATGCCTTAGAGGTTAAATTGTTTTCTATTTCTTTTGTCATGATTGGTTCGACGCGTTTCAGGAAGTTAATTAATTTTGTTTCTTTGTCACGCTGAGTTTTAGAGTCGTTTTTATTGTCAGTATTGTTTAATTCTTCATCTTGATGAAGCCAGTCTGTTTGAATCTAAACAGATACAAGTATTAAGTATTTTTTACAATTAGAAAATAGTTACCTCTTGAGTTTTATATCTTTTCGACTGTGTACCACGATGATAAATCTTGTATGGTTCACTTTGCATTTGTGCTTCAACAAAGGATCTATAATAGAAAGTTTCGGTGAATGCAAAGCAATCTATACAACTACTCTAAAGTAGCTATAAGGTAAATCTATGCATTTTCAAGAGTTTATCTTTAGGGATTCGATTTTTTTCAATTTGATTCGAATTGATATTAGTTAGAGGACCTTAGAAATCCAGGGAGAATTGAGAAGCTGTTCAGGACTCATTGGAAGTACGCACCTACCGGATTTAGAACCCAGAACCTTCCAGTTTCAAGGTAAGCTCGTAGACCATTCAGCCACTGCTAACTAATCTAATGGCCTGTGAATTATAAATTCTACCAATTCGTGATTAAACTGACATCATTCTGTGCTCAAACTTTAAATAAATCAAATCCCGACAAACCAACTCTTGAAAAGTAATCGGATATTTGCTAGTGACTAGCTGTAGGACGAAGTTGACTGCTACTCTAGAGAGGAGTCATGACTAGTGAGGTCCACCCAGTCGGCAGTGAGAGTAAATACCCGTCGGTGACGTTGGCTGATGATGGTGAAAGTTAGAATTCATACACCACTGGATCGTTACGCAGTGACCGAATAGTCTACAAGCTTAGTTTGTAATTGGAAGGTCTTAGGTTTGAACCCTGACGGTGGGAGCGTTCTTTTGGTGAGTCCAAAACTAGTAGGAAACAGCTGCCCTGTACTCCCTGGTATTCAGTGCTTCTCTAACTGATATCAATCCGTGATCAAACTTGGAACAAATCGATTTATATCATATGGATTGATATTTCTTGCTTCTTTGATGTTGCGAATGCGATTCTTAGCAGTCACTTTTTTTTCCATTGCTTTGCATTCCAGATGGAATATTGGGCTTCATGCTTCTGTCTTTGAAGTCCCAGTAGTGGCAGTGTTATTTTTATGGGGTGAGATTGTTAACCTTCTATCCTTTCCTGGATTACTACCAACTAGACTAGACTGGCCGGTACGACGTACATGGTTGATGAGCAATGTACTACTATACCAATCACTCAGTAAAGTTACTCACTACTTCATATTTGATGATCACAATGGAGAAATTGTTTCTAGTGTAGTTCGATCCAAATAATAGCCTCTAACCAACAAGCATTAAATTACTGGTCACTGGTAAGAATTACTTTGTAAATAACTCATTGGTGCCACTTATTATCGAAAGAATGTGGAGAGAACGTAATTGTCCTATAAGTTACCTCTAGGAGATCCTTTCAGTTTGAAAGATTAATAAATGAATATTTAAGGCTTCTGTTAATCTATAGTTATACGATAATTACGGATGTTTTCACCACGAGGTAGGCAGAGCACCGCATTTTTCAGTGATGAAAGTAATATAACAATTCATCTCAGCTGAAACCGGTTGACTACATCTTCGAACTTTTAGCTTCCAAATAAGTTTAAGCTCATAGACAATTGATTTCAGCTTCAGGTTTGTCATATTCAGTCCCTCTGTTTTCATCTAAGGTAAACATTTTTAGTAATATAAAGAGAATTTTGTCAAAGAGTATCATAGTCACTAGTTAACTGCTCTGTCCTATCATCTGTGGTGTTCACAGATGGCATGTGTCATTCAAATGAATGGACGCAGTGAAATAATGTTCTGATAAGCGTTTGGCTCCCTCAGACCAGCTGATGGAGGACTAGGACAGGGAGCCAGAAGTCTCCAGTCCTGATACTATCAGTACTACTTAAATTAGCAGATAATAACTCAGGCATGTTGCAGGTACAAGTAGTAATAAAAATACAGGAATACAATAAATATATTTGTAATTAATAGGGTGTTATTATTATTATCGTTCCCTTGGGTTCCGATTGGGACGTTGGGCTTCAACAAAACATCCCAACTTTTTTCTGTTTTCTGCTATCCTCTTCAGCTGGGTCCACGACTGCCAATAATCTCTGATCTCCTCCATGTCACCTCCTGATGATCTCATCTTCGCATGATCTCCTCCATGTCACAATCGAGTACACACCCCACTCATCGTTTCCCATTCGGGTTCCAGTATATCTAAGTCTTGGTGCGATGTCATTCCACGGTCCCTTCAGTCTGTGCGCAATTCATCTCCACTTTTTCCTGCATATTTGTTGAGCAGTGGGTTCTTGATTAGTTTGTTCCCAGAGTTTCTTGTTGCTAATTCTTTCTCGGTAGCCATGAAAACTTCAGTATAGAGCCAGCGAAGGCAGTTGTTGATAAAAGTCTGCGGCTAGCTGTTAGAAATGCTCTTCGTGACACTGGCGCTAAGTTTCTGACCCACATAGGAGAACTGACTGACTTAACATTGGTGGTGAATATTCGAATCTTGTACTTATGTTGGGTGCAGAAGAATTCCAAATCAATTTCAGATTGATAAAGGTCTGCTTTGTCTTTCCGATTCTGATTTTGACATCCTCATTCGCACTGTGGCCTATATTTGAAACGATGCTCCGTAGATAGGAGAAGGAAGTAACCGGATTCAAATTTTTGCAGTTGACAGTGATTGGTACCGGTTGTTGTTGCTGCTGGTTGGTTGTTTTCACTAACTGCACACTTTCTGTGTTCAAATGAAATCTTGTTTTTGCTGCTGCTTCTGTCAGTTTGTTGGTTTTCGCCTATAATTATTCCAGTTCGTGTAGTATTAGACATAAATAATCTACGAAATCCAGATCTTCTAGAGTCTTCCCATCAGTCCAACGTATTCCTATCTTCCCATCCTCCATATTCTGACACATAATCCAGTCCACCGCAATTAAGAACATCATATCCAAATTACGTAATGGTCACTGCTTCACGAAAACCAAAGTCTTTACTGCTATTCACTCAATGAATGCAGTAATACACCAAAATGATTCACGGTGCATACTGATTAAGATTTGTTTGATCCTAAAAATGATACAAGGCGAAATTAGGAGTTTCGCTTGTTTCTTTTGAACAGATAATTCTGAGGTTTTGATTTAAATGGCTACTGGTCTGATACTTCCTGGCTGATTTTGACCAAAACCAAACCATTAACGCACTTCCTTAAACTCTTTTAACCCACCTCCAAAAAGTAAATTGATGTAATCACAGACAATATAGCTAGCCGAAAAGAAACAGTTGAATCGATGTATGGCCAACCGAGGCACTCCCTATTCAACTTTTCAAATAAAAGTTAAACTCGTAGAAAGTACTAGATATAATTTAACTGTATTAAAATTGTTATACGCAGATGTTGGTGATTGTCGAATTAAATATTCCCTAGGCGTCTCATCTAAGTTTTGTTCTTGAATTGCAGTTGATCTCATTTTTTTCAGGTGAAAGTCGTCCTGCGATTTTGATTACTTGTTCACTGTTCAGCCGTATTTTGTTGTTGTACTTCTTGCTTTTCTACTCCAGCTTTACCAATTAAATTTCAGGTCCTATTACTTTATTGTCGAGACGGTGAGTAACACGCCATCGTAAAAAGCTAACTGAATTTTCAGTCGATACCTTTAGTGATTTTATGAACAAGATAGACTACTACGTAGTGAAACCATTCTTTCTCAGACTAAATTAAAATTACGTAGTCAGAGAATAATGTGTTTTTATCCAGCTTACGACAAACTACACTTATTATGTGATAATTTCATCACCGATCACAAAGTGACTTCAGTTATAAAACCACTAGAGAATAGGAAGTACTGGACAGTTATTTCGTTCTACTTTGGGACTCTTCAATAGTGCGCGCTCATGAACTTCCGGTTATGAGGTGACCTCGTGGACCATTCAGCAAATGGTATGAAATCCAGCAATACTAAGTCTTGCCAAATCGTCATATGCAGCGTGACCACAGGACAATGTCATCGGCGAGTATTTGCGGCCATATTTAACTCGGTAGGGGGTAGAGTTGATCGGTTTTTGGGTTCCGTATCAGTGGCTGAATGATCTATGAGTTCACCTCACAACCTGAAGATCTTGGATTCGATCCATGGTGGGGTCATTAGCGCATACTATTGAAGGGCCATGAAATAGGACGAAATAGCTTTCTACTACTCCCTCGTTTTTCAATGGTTCTCTAGCCAAAGTCATTTCGCGTTGAATCTTAAAATAAATTAATTCTCTGAAAATAAACACTTTGATAGATGCTCATACTTAAAACAACTGTCGGAATCTCCTGAGTGAAGACGAATTCGAAGCAGTGACTCACTAGTTGAAAATTGACTTTATCGACGAATGAGCAACAGAGTAATCGAACTGGAGAATTTATTTACTTTGCTTTTTACAATAAATTAAATTACCGTCTGTTACTTACAGATAGAAACTCTCAGATAAACTAAGACTGCATTTCACACAAGGTAGAAAGGGGTCGAGTTCTTAACGAATCGAGTGAAATTAAACGAGAAAATGACGGACAATAATATGCTTAAACGCCTTAAGTGTTACACAACCATACAGTAATAAATTAAACTGACTCAAAAAAGTGTAAATCATCCCTTGTCATGGGAAAATGCTTACTTATTCCTTGAACTCTTCGAGTCACATTTGATTCCACTAAGAACTTCATCTGTAAATTCAGTAATCATCATGTAATCTTGAAATAAAAAAATATTATTAAATCATAGTCAGTAAATTTTAGAGACTTGGTATAAAAATATTTTAGGCATACATTACGTTAACAATATAAGCAAATTTAGTTGGAGGATGTCAATAGAGAGAACCATTGAAAGAGCTGATAGTACTCAACAGCTGTTTCGCCCTAGTTAGGGACTATTCGCCAGTATGCACCCACTGACAGGTTTCGAACACAGGACCTTCTGTTTACAAGGCGAGGTCATAGATCATTAAGCCACTGGGACCCGATGATGAAATCCTCCAACCAATCAAACGAAATCCTTACAAAACCAATAATCGATAAGCAACTTTAGTTGAAAAATAGTATTATGAAGCTGTATTAATTATTCCTCTAGCTCAGATACTGTTAAAAAGTTGATAAAAATCACATCGTTCAATTACTATAACCAAAATTAGTCCCCCGTATTCACATGAGCAATGAACTCAAAGAACTTTAACACTATTCACATCGTGTTGTCAGAAACTCCGGTAAAGAATTAACCAAGAGTCTATCGCTTAATAGATATACACAATAAAATAGAGATCAGTCGGATATACTTGTAGTGGTAGGTAATTCCCCAGAATCATCAGCCACAGCATTAATCACTGGATATTGGGTGTTTAAGTCGATTGGTTTGGCTGTAGGTTTCCAGTCAAACATCTACGCCACTTGGCACACCGTCATGTTACATTCGTTCGTTAGTTCACAATACCTAGCTAGTTAAGCAGTCATCCTCGCACTCTTATTTGGTACCGAAATATAATTCGGAATTTGGACGATCAGTTCAGTTGTTTTTGAATTACTTTTCATCTTCGCGGAACGAATACTATAGAAATTGTGGGTATTAGATTCTGTGTTAGTATACTTTGTACTATTCGTGAACGTCAACACCCTTAGCCCCTAAATACTCTTTAGAAACTATTGAGTGACATCACACGATAGGCCCTATATTGGACTTTTAGTGGTAACGAAAAGTTGACTACAATGGGAGATATGGAGGAGACCATCCGAAAAGGAAATGAAAGGATACAGTCAGTCCTGAAGCTATCTAAAGAGGACTGTACCCAGTCTTGGCTAGAATTAAACAAGTTTAAAATTGCCAAAGTATCTTTCAAGATTGATTCCTCAGAGTTTTCTTGATTTCGTCGTTAGATTAAGCTTCAAGAAATGACATTTTCATCACTTCAAAGAAATAACAACAGTTTGTTTAGAGATAATCTAAGAAATAAGCTTCTGGATCAAGACACAATTATTTCAGGGAACTCCTGGCGTATATCCTGCATGAATCGGTAAATAAGAGGGAAATTAGGACCCTATGACAAGTTTTTTGATCAGCTGTCTAATGGACCCTGTCTTATCTTCAAAACCATATGTAAACGATTGTACAGCTTAATGATAAATTCGTTGAAAAGAGTCTCTTCGCTGAATCACTTGTTCTGATTTTCTTTATCTAAAAGCGACACTAATTATTATACAGTGACCAGAATTAAACGTGATGATCACGAGTTACAACAGCTGTCACAATATTTAGAGCAGATAGTTTGGTTGCGACACAGAGGTGTAGGTACGTGGCCATCAACTGCCTAAATAAATCTCAAAACAGTAAGAAAAGATTATTATCTGTGAAAAAACAGATGTGACTTTCTGCAAACAATTGTTGAGCGACATTCTGTCTTACTTTCATTATTAGTCACACACGTTGAATGATATCACTAGAGTTCCAAGGAAATCCAGCATCAAAGCAATTTTAGAACAGAAAATATTATCGCAGAGTAACAACAGCTCATAACCATAATGAATATTATATTATGCAAAATTAGTGAATAATGAGACCAGTGCAATGTGTTCCTTGAGACATTTATTGTTCATGTAAAAATTGGAAAGCTTTCTTATTTGATGAGATGGACCTGACTACTAGTACGAAGCGTTATTCTTCGTCTTTGTTCAGTAATATATTACTCAATGGTTAATTATTATTAGAGCCAAGCTGCATTTGACAATAGTTGTTGTCTTTCTACACCCGTGTCGGTCTCGTTGAGTGCAGAAAATATGCTCCATGATAGCTCCATATTTTCAGTCACAGTTTTAGTTATCCTTTCATCATTTACGTTCGCTCTGTTTAAAGGGTTAAATGGCTATATAAGATGCCAAGTGACATGTTTCCTAGATTTGCAACCATGGGTACGACATTTACTGTTTAATTATGTTACTCACTATTTTCAAAATGCCTATCCATCTCTTGCGAAGTCCCTGATTTTTATTAGTTGTTTCGCACAGAGCCTGGGCTGCAAAAACAAAACTAAATCCAAAGTTTACATCTATGAGTTTTTTACGCAACAAGTAATTTTTGCAATGCTTCTAAAACACTACGACTAGTAGTTTGAACGTACGAATTTTGGTGCACACTTATGAGGTAAGCATAGTGTCGCAGCTCAAGTGAACAACCTACCAAATGAGCTTAAACGATCGATCGGAATAGCCGTATGGCAAGAAAAAGCATTATTCAGATAAATATACTTAGATTATCAAATTTAAACATCGTCATTCAGGCACTTTGGAGGTTGCTTGCATGTGTTGTGGTATTTCATGTTTGCTGTTATTGATTCATCCATTCGGGCTACCGAATAGCATTTCTCCATTTCTAGACTGAGTAATCCCACCAAAAAGCATAGATTTTTGTATAATGCTGCTGCATATGTACCGTATTCGCTCTAGATCACATGATAATGCGTCCCCTTAACACTGGTTATTGTCTGTATATTCAGACATTGAAAGCACTGGAACAGCTCACTATGAGCTACCATATAAATTTCCCTTCAAAAAAATAATAAACGTTGGCTGGTATAGGGAAACCAAGTTAACTTAAAATCAGGAAAGGAGCTGTAGTCTAGTTAAAGTATCTGTTTTCACAGACTCGATCGAGTTAGGCCTAAATAAACGAAAAAATATTTCTGAAAGATCTATTTGAAGTCCAATGTTTTGTGAGAGTTAGGCTTATTATAATGCACAAGTAATCTTGTATGACGACACAGAAGCGTTTTACTGAGGGATGAATGAGTAAAATGTAAATTAGTGAAAAGATAAACAGAAATCTTTATAACAAAAGGAGAAATTCCTATTCTTTCCCCTTCTTTCAATCCCCTTCTGGAGTGTTTGTTTTCTTCTTCTGCCTGTCTTCGTTATGGAATGCTAGAATTCTCTAGAAGTGTAACACAATATTCCAAAAGTGTTGAGAAATATTTCACAACGTTGTCCTAAGCAAATCTGTGCTCATGAGATTTCAATGGGATATATTATGCTAACAATAGTTTTAAAAGACAACCGTAGTGCTTACAATTCAGTTGGTCCACATTCAAATTGCGCGGTATGAACAAGGTTGTTGTTGTGACAACGCGGAACATTAATCAAATGGATTACTTAAACGGACTGCGTCCAACACATACAAACTGCATCCACGGAATAAATAACCTTGTAATTGCTATTTTACATTCGCTTTATCCAATAAAATTATATTGGCGTGCCATCAGAAATAAGATTAAACTACCACTGATGGACGTTCCCTTCATGGAATCTATCCATGGAAATCGTAGCCTGTATGCTGGAGTATGGGTTAAAACACTTATGTGTTTTCAAGTTTCCAACAGAATAGCGTGGCCCGATAGCATGAGAAGATTGGGGAATGCAAGTAGCGAGCACACAAATGGATGTCTTCATGATTGAAATCAGCACTTTATTGCAATCATGAATCACAGGTTGCCATAAATGTAGACAGTTTCACTCGAGAGTAAATTATTTATGCTCCACATCCTTTAGAGTTTACCTGGAAAATATCCTTAACCTTTGCTAATCATTTCCTGGGCAAATTAAACTCTTCCGTAGTACTTTGTTAAAAACATCTGCGTAAGTATTACAATGAAAATTTAGGGAGGTTTTGATGGAGATTCGGAACAATTAGACCAACCCATGGAAGTAATGTGCAATAAAATAACTGACTGTGAAAGTGGCTTATGAAATCCACGTTCTCCCACACACTACATCGCTACTCAGTTACTTACTTCGATCGGCTTAAATCATCATCTCAACGACTCACACTACTAATTTTCTTAATTGTGGTAGACTGGATTATGCGGAAGACTGTGGAGAGCGAGAGAACACCTATAAGCTAGACCTATCTGTAGACCCTAAAGGACCTCACTTTCCCGGGTAATTTCATCTCCCGTAGGAATAACTCGGAGATTTACGGCTGAAAACCAACGGGTTGACAGAATAGAGAGGTAGCTGAGAAGGGACATCAAATCAACAAGGAGAAGAGCGAAGCGATGAGATTACCTAAATAAATCAACCATGCTTTCGTTTCAGTATACTTGTATCGGTAGAATGGGGGCGGTCACTAATGACTTGAATTTCCTCAGGTAGCTGATTTTGCATTGTAGGCCTAAAGGAATTCTGTGGTCATATCGCGATGTGTTCTGCTGTTTAAAAAGTGTAGTTTTAATCCTCTATTTAGGGATCCCGTGGGGCAGTCGTTCTGCCTAAAGAGCTCAGGAGTGAGTGCCTCTAACTGTCTTCGTGTAGGACGTTACAATCTCACCATATAACGTGGAAATAATTTTTCGCATTCTGGAATATCGTGGTCTTTATTTGACTACTACATAATTATAGCTGATATTGCTTGCCCCTCCGGTAGCTAAATATCCAAATTTATCACCTCCAGAATACTGTTTGGATCCAGTGAGATTCGTGTTAATAAAGAGCAATCTGTCACAAAAGAACTATAGAGAAGTCCTCAGTTTTGTGGTTTATAATTATCAGAGTTAACTCGTTTGATAGTGGTCTATTTTTGTTTGTACTTCATACCTGTTTATTGTTGTTTTTATCTATTTAGATAATATAACAGTATTTCACACACTTTTGTCAATTTTTGAGAAAATTTTATAATCTTTACCTGCATAATGGTCAAAGTTATTAAACGAGTTAGTACTGTTAAGAGACTAGCATCAAATAGTCAGCAGGACACTAAAAACATCAGTCCTGACGATGGATTTGCACTAAGATCAATCGATACACCGAGAGTTTTAGTACCAAACTTAACGGAAGAACTAATTGATAGCGTAGCGAGTAATACTAGTGATCTAAAGATCCTTCAGAAATCCATAACAGACCTGCAGGATAAGTTTGAAAGTATTACTCCTTTCCTCCAACTTTGTGATCCATCACAAGAGATTTCCTTAGATTCACTCCTCAAATCTGAGCACCTGCTAGACTTTTTGACTGCAGAGGCTGTAAAGAGGGTCATGTCCTCATACAATGTTTTAGGATATAATATACCAGACAATGTACCTATTGTCAAACTTAAAGCAATCTGTCTACAGGCATGCAACATTTCAGTATCTGACTGCCAGGTTCTGCGTCTTCGTAAGAAATCCGCAAACCACCCATGTCCTGTACTGTTCAAATTTAAGTCTGTTGATCTAGCTAAGAAATTTTTGGAGTCTGGCAAAACTCTTAGCTCCTCAACACCCTACACCAAAATCAGGATTGTACCTGATTTAACTTCTTGCCAAAGAAGTTGCCGCGCAGGTAAACTGAATGAAGACAACCCCAATAAGACAACCGAAGTTAATACTTCCCTCGTTGTATTGCCTTATGACCAAGAGCACCAGACAATATCGCATACACAAACTAAGAGTAGTCAAGCAACTGTTGAAGACTTAGCTCTAAATACGGAAATTTCAGACATAGAAATGTTAACAGATCACAGTATTGACGGGCAACCCTTGCACATTGGCACTTATGCCAAACCCTCGAAAAAGTCTAAGCTGAATTCAGTTGTACACTTTGAATCTCTCGGGAAGTCATATACCGCACAACCTCTTAGCCCGACAACTGTGAAGCAGCAATCACATGTGGCCACCCAGGTAGGCGTAAATACAAGGCGATATGATAAGCGTCCTATTTCCGTTAGGAACACCAAAAGAACTGTTGATACTATTCAACAGAAATCCAGTTTATTGGGAAATCCTAATGATCACCAGCAGCCCAAATTACACAAGCCGAATAATACGGAAAAAGCTAAACCGAACGTTAGACCCAGAACACTAAAGCCCATAATTACGAAAGCTTCGAATGGGTCACTGGCTCATTCTACTGGTGGACAATCATCTAAACTTAGTCATGTTCCTGAAGTTAGACGTAATTCACATACCGTAGGAGCTTACTCATTTCAGGCTTCCAATACTAGTCCTATGATAAGAAAAAATAATCGTCACATTTCTCACCAAACACTTCGAAAACACGAAGTTGCTCAGCCCCTCACGAATGCACTCTCAACCATGATGTACAGGAAACACCAGTTTGAGAATACAGACGTTAGTCCAAAAACACGTATAGCGCCCTGTCATAATTCTCATGCATTCAGTAGGAGTCACATGCCAATTTCAACACAATGTTCATCATGGCCTAGGAAGTTCTCTAACCAGACACAAGGATCTAAGTCATATGCACACAACAACACGCCGACCACCCATTTCGGTTATAACTATGCAGACTACATGACTCTAGCCAACCCATATGACCAAAATTTTCTCCAGCGACAACTGGCAGAAACGCCTGGGATCATGCACATAGCACATATGATGTCAGACCAATTCCTTGCTGGTATAGCAAACACCTTACAGCAGGGAAACTGCTTCTTCCCCGACAGATAGCAAACACTTTATACACACCTAATACCAGTAGTAATACCTTAGATTATCATACTAGTATCTCCCATAGCACGCAATATCTAAACGACCAACCACTCACGAGTGACATCTCACAACCCATCCCTAAGTATCAAACTAAAGAAAACGTCTCTAGTGATCAAAATGTTGCAATTAATGAATCCAATAACGACTGCACATATTCAGCTGATAACCATAGAGCATTTTATTATGATATTGCCCATACACTAAAACCACTTAGTCAAAGTCTATCAGTCATCCTCATAAACGCTAGATCAGTTCTTAACAAACATTTAGCATTATGTACGTTAGCCTCTATATGCAATCCGTCTCTGATCATGATCACTGAAGCCTGGTGCTCAAGTGATATTACGGATGATAGCTTATCAATTGATAAGTACAATCTTTTTCGAGGGGATAGGGAAACAGGTCGTGGGGGTGGAACACTCATATACGTTAAACAACCCATTTGTGCAACGCATTTTAGTCACCCTATTCTGTCACAACTTAATGATTCGGTGTGGGTCGAAATAAAAGTTCTCAGAAGTAAACCTATCCTTATAGGGTGTGTATACCGACCGCCATCATCCAACCGCGAATACGATAACGTACTCAGCAACGTATTTAGTGTTGCATCCAATCTTCCCTTCAGTTATAATATAATTGGAGGTGACTTCAATTTACCTGATATATCATGGCGTACACTTCGTGAACCCTCGAGGTATGATAATCTTCTTAATTCCATCATTACAGGAGGATGGACGCAACACATAAATGTACCCACTAGGTCCGATAACATCCTTGATCTCATATTTACGATCAACGTAGCACCATCTACAATTCATGTGGGACATGAATTCCCAGGTAGTGATCATAAAATAGTTGCATGTTCGTTTAATATTTCTCCAGAAACTATACACAGAAACAAAGTAATTCCGACACCTATAAGACTATACACGCAGGTTGACTGGGACTTGTATCAGGACTTGATTAGATACTCTAATTGGGATTCCTACTTTACCAGTGACTCCTTAGAGGAGGTCCTTAAAAACTTCTATGACAATATACAGTCGGTTAATGATGTCATAGCGCCTGTGAAACTGATTAAATTCAAAATTCCTCAAGGTGATTTTATTCCAGTATCATTAAGAAGAAGTATGCGGAAGCATTCATTAAGTTACTACAGACATGACGACTTATCGTCGTTAATAGCTATCAAAACAATCCTCATTAGAATCAATGAGCTAAAAAATCTAAGTCTTAGAAATAAAGAGACGCGGGCAATTCAGTCGCCACATAACACTGGAGAAATAGCCAAACTCTTCAAAAGTAGGTTAACTAACTCCAAATCAACATATCCAAAAATAATACACCTAGGTGGCATTACTCACGAAAGTGATGAGGATATATGTGAGGTGTTTAGCACGCACTTTGCCAAATTGTACACTCTAGAAAACGACCAGGATATAGATTTCCCTCGTAAAACAGAAAAGTGTTTAACCGATGTAGTCTTTAACGCCCAAGAAATCGATAAAGCTACCACAACTCTTAGGCTTACTAATACTCCCGGCCCAGATGGAATGTCTTCTGTCCTCTTAAAAAAGGGTGGAAATGACATGAATCTACTTCTTCTCAAGATATTTTCAACTTCGATAAGGAGTGGAACATATATAAATG